GAACGATGTCCGCGTAGTCCCCCGTTTGTTGTTCTATGATCCGTTCATGGCGTAACTAATCGTTTCTCAAAGTTTGAATGCATTTTAGTCTCCCTCATATACAAATACTGATTCAATACAAACGGCAAAAAGAATACAAAGAAACGAATAAAGTGCCCTAATAAATATGTTGGAGTTCCCACAGAATGAAATCCACGCTATCTTTTCGGGGACACAAATCTGTTAGGACCAACTGCATTGTTTATTCTGTTAGTTTTTAGAGCTGATATAATTAAGAGAACAATACCTTGGTTTTTGCTTGTCAGTGCACATTCTAATCAGACTTAACTGCTCCCCTGCATTTCTGTTTTTGAAATAATTAGAAAAATATCCTGTCACCCTGTACCGTGACTTGGCAATTATTAACCGTATCTTTCACATTCTCGTGAACACTCTAATCACAAGTCTGTGTGAACTCAGCATTAACCCTTTTCGAGATCTTTGACCACAATATCATTTACTATTTTACTTGTCCTCTCATCTCGCTCTGTGAAACTATTCTTCCTTTTCCCAAATCGAGTTCAATCTGGCCACACTTACACACATTCATCGCCATGCCACATCGACAAACTATTAGAACAACTAATTAAAAAAATTTTCGACTGAGATGCAGTATGAGATGTTTGCAGAAATCATCAGCATACAACATAATGCACTGCGATCGTATTTGAACTCTGAATGATAGCGGTGCAATGATTATCCTGCTTCGTTTTAATCAAATCCACATAACCAGACAAACAGAAACATAGTACAATTTAACCACACTTTCCTGCATCCCTGTGACGGTACCATAGAAGAAGAGTCATGCTGAAAACAAGCATCATCATCCGCATTATCAAACTCGTAATGAACAGACGATGCCCCGGTAGTATTTACCAAAAATATAACTTACTTTTTCCGTTAACCGGATCCACATCTATTATGATTCCACTAGTCATAATTTAATCTTATTTTTTCCAAAAATAAAGAATAAACAAGAAAATGATTGTGCCCTCACTGATCAGCACGAACATCAGGTCGCTTTTCGCAAAGACCACGGATCTAACGTGCACCCTCAATTCACGCATCCACCGCAACACGTGTGGCGTTTGCATGCAACAATCCTGGAGCAAACACAATGTTGAGGACTCACTGGTTGGAATCCATGGTTTTAAACAATTTTGTTAGGACTTAAAGCACAGTAGGATGTGGAGTGATCACCTACATCAACTCTTCTTAAAGTGGCGATTCTGAGGTTCTTACCATCTTTCGTTCCCCTGATAGACGACAGTCTCCATATTATTGTTGGAGACTTTATTCACGCATCCACTTATCTCATAACCTCTCTTGGCCTAACTGATTTTTGTCTATCCCCTGCAAGAAGTTATGCATTTTTAGACAAAGTAATTACTAACCACCGGGAAAGTTTTGCCTGAAAACTCACAGCGTTTGTTTCTACTAGTGATCACGCTTTGATTCTCACCAGACCTAAGGTGTACTCCCGTCCCATTCGCAATACACTAACAAAAACCAAAGGAATCACTATTCGTCCTAGCAACCTTTCCCACAGAAACACTTCTCCTTAGGCGTTTCATTAGTGCCGTTTCTTCGTGGTTTTCTCGCTGTTCTTCGTTAGATGATACAATCAACCGATTCACTAAAACATTCAAGCATATGTTGAAACTACGCTGCCCTTTTGAAAATCATTCAGATGGCAAGAGGAACGATCGTATAAGTCTAGACTCAGTGGCTGTTAAGTATTATTCCAACCTGATCAAAGCTAAAGTCAAACGTCTCGCTGTGTCCTACGCTTCCCAGCTTCTGCGATAGTAAGCGAATCCGGCAAGGTATAAAATTACTTTGAGGGACTCGTTGTGTGCTCATCTTCCTATTAAATTTGGGACATAACAGGACCCAAGCCAAAACTCCCGAGTTTACATTGGATTTAGACAGTGTCAATGCAGTATTACTGAAAAACAATTAATAAACATTTTTTATTCGTCAGATTATGGAAGAAACCAAAGGTTTGACCCGAAATGCCCACGAACAACCTGAATCATTATAGTTTCACATCATTATATTCACAACGCAAAACACCTGGAAGAAAAATTGCATAGTACACTAAGCAATGTTACAAGTCAAAACCTCTTATCGTTCAAACGGTCTCAGTGAATTTTCCTACATAACAACACTATTATACCTTCAGGTTATTCACCAATGCGTCCGAAGGATCATGGTTAATTAATCCCAGCGATTATCTCAAAAAAGAAATGTTAAGCAAGACATTTTTCTGTATGCTCCAAATTAGGCATCGAGATGAGCAAACCATCGACCTGTTTTCGACAGACCGCGACAAATAATTAAATCAGTAACCCCAAATAACTAGTTACATTATGGGCTCGACCAGCAGCGAAAGATAATGCAGCTTGCAAAACACTGATATTCCTAAGACGTATGACAAACAGCGTTGTTCTTTTTTTCTTCCAAACGAGCAAGCAAGCTTACTTCGACCGTTTGGATATAGGCGTGAACCAGGCCGAGGAGACGACGCAAAGCTAGGCGAGCAGCAGTTCGGCTGCAATGTTTTGCTCGACCAGCCGG